ATTTATATAATAAGATAATTTAGCATTAATAAAAACTATTGATTTTTAGTGATCTGGATATAATAAACTTAATTATATAATGGTTTGAAAAAAAAAAACTAAAACTTAAACTTTTTTTTATTTAAAAATTTAAAAAGTATATACAAAATAAAGTTTAAAAATCAATTCATTAAATGATTTTCGAAATATTAGCCCTCTAAAAAAAAAAAATCAAAAAAATGAAATGATGAATAATAAATATATAAACGATACTGCATGCCAAAGAAACCATGTGTCTTAAAAAAAGACCCCAAACCAAAAAGATATTTATCTCTTAGCAAGACAATGGCTGGAATGCCATATGATCATAAGAAGATTACTGCACCCTAGTGCAAAAAAGAAAAAATGGCGAATAATATTTGCTGTTAAAAAAAATTTTTAAATTAAAAAAAAAAAAAAAAAAAAAAATATCCAGACCATAAATTTATCCTATATATTATTATTGCTAGTGCCATTTTCATCCCAACACACCTATCCGATTTTCTTAATCTAATTTAACAAAATTTAAAGTACAATCATGCATTTAAAAGAAAAACCAATTATCAATACATTTTAATTATCAGAGATTTTAGACAACCATAAACACTTATGTAGTGATTTTGAATTCCAAGGAGCTACCTAATGATGTAATGTTGTTACTTAAAAACCTGGCATTCGTGAATATGGTTCAATATGTCAAAAGATCCTTTGCTTTTCGTCGAAGTCTTGTAAAGACCAAAGTGGAATCTGCTAGCGTGGCATTTTTTTTTTACAAGCAAATAAAAGTTGAGTTAAGGCAGTGATCATGGTTCTTGCATATATTTGATATTAGAAAGCCACAGATATGAGTCATGCTAGTGCAACATATAATGTTGGTGTTTGTTATAAATAAGGAATTGGAGTTGAGAAGGACGATAAAAAGACATTCAAATATTACCTAAAAGCCTCAAATTTGGATCCAAGGTTATATTGTCCATTAGAATTTCTACCTTCAGCAGATTTCATATATCACTGAAATGCTTTCTCATAGTCTTTAGTAGTTCTGACTCCATTACGATAGAAATTTCCAAAATTAGATTGTAGTATAAGGAACACAATTAGCTCTAGTTGGTGATTATCATATCCGAATTGTGCCATCTCTAATTGAAGCACTGTGAATCCTAAAGACTTTACTTTCATTGTTTCCTTCTTATCCAATTTATCAATCAATCAAGATCAAACCAATGATTGAGCATCGATAGTATATTACATGATTACTTTGACAAGCAATAGAGGATCACATTTTTAACAAATGGAATACGATTTTTTTTTTCTGATCATGCTATTGCAACAGATTGTATTGTTAATTTGAAATATTTGAAAAAAAAAAAAGTAAAATACATTTGGAATAAGTCGTCGGTCCCAAGAGTCATGTTGGGGTGCTGACAATCATGAAAGAAAAGTCGTGATGCCAAAAAAAGCTTCAGATGAGTACCTAGAGAAAGAAGGACCATCTGAGAGGAGAATGGCGAAAAACTAGAGACAAAATAACAAAACTTACCTACAAGATTTCAGAAGCTAGAGCTAGAGCCAGAAACATTGATATCACCAAGGGTCAAGAAAAACCCATGGATGGCGAATTGGATGTTGAAAGCATGGGCTAAGGAAAAAAAGGATGGTAAGAAAAATTAGAAGCTACAATAGAATGCCAAAAAGAAAGAAAATATTGTGACTTACCAGAATTGCACTAAGACAAGAGAATACGAATGCCAAAATGTTGTTATAATCATGATCACAATATGATTACGATTATGAAAAAAAAAAAGTAAAAAATACTAAGTTCAACAAACAGACTTTCGAAGAAAGAAATGGAGTGGCAAAAACAGAAAAGAAAAACAAAAGCATATGTATTGGTGGAGCTACTACTGCTCCGGTATGAGATCGTCCAAAAAAAAAAAAAAAAACTTATCTTACGAAGTTCGATAATGCGTGCCTAGAATAGTAAGATCAGTACCGTTATTACTTAATTTATCATGTGATATGATCTTGATTATAAGGAATTTCTGGTTATAAGGAATATTTTCTCTGGCCCCGTCAAATTCATTATAACCAGGTTTGACTGTATGTCCAATTTATCCAATTTTTTTTTTGCTTGTTATTAAGCATCGGTATTGCCAAAGTAAAAATAGGTTCCTAAATTATTTAGTATATAAAATTTCACAGATTAATTATGTCTTTTTTGAAAAAATATAATTATTTATTTATTATTTTAATAGAGACATAATTTAAAAAATATTTGAATCAAGTGGCCTAAATTGCAAAAAACTTTTGTAAGTAGTTTTTTTTTAATCTTATATTTAAAAAAAAACTTTTTTAATAATGAAAAACATTTAAATTATATTTTCACCTTTAATTTAGGAACCTATCTTTATATCAAAGAAAGTTTTTTTTGATATTCAAGTTTAATCAAATACCTTTGAATAATCATAATAGAAACTTTTATTCCATTTTTTTCTAGTTTAATCATCAAGATTCTTAAAAAAAATAAGTTATTGTGTCAAATATATTAATTTAAAATTTTTAAAATTCATTCTATAATTTTTTGTGATTAATCATTGTTGCCTATATGTTTTACTTCTTCCATTTTTTTTATTTTTCTAATAATATTATAAATAATGATGTATAGTATATTTATCCGATACTATAGATTAGTCACTTTATGTATTCCTTTATTTCAATAATATAAAACAGTTTCTCATTGTAAATGTTGTTACACTTGATTTTCGCCCAACATTTTATCTTACCCTTGTAATAATCCACTAGCATTTAACCCCTGAGATACTCTCTTCTTGTTCTAGAATTTCTGTACTATTGATCTACTATAGTACTTTTGCCTACTTTGCCTACTTAGCCATCTTTGCCTATTCTGAAATATTCTTTAGTTTTATTTACTATTATTACTTTGCTATCTTCGCCAGAGTATTCATCTCTATCAAAGTAAGTATAGTTGACTATTTTAACGAAGATATCATCTTTGTCATAGTTATTATCTTTACCAAAATATACTACTATCATGTATGCAAATCATATATTAAAAATATATATATAAATGCCTCCAATTCCTCCTGGAATTGCAAGGTTGAACTTTCCTCTTTATTAATAAAATAACTTGACCTTTACAAAACAAATCACTATTGCCTCTTTCACTTAACCTCATACACCTCAGAACTGTACTAATTTTAGTACACCCTTATGAACTTTAGCATACCACATTGGTCCATCCATACAAAGTGTCTTCCTGCTATTAGTTCTCCATCCATATCTTTCTCCTGAGGTAGAAAGATATATGACAATGTAGATTAGAAGATAATATTTTGTGAGTTAATTCTTAAAAAACTAACAAGTAAAGTAAACAAAAAAACAATAACAACACTTAATTACTTATAAACAAATAGTTTTTATCAATACACTTTTCCGGTTTAATTAAAAATGATAAAATTAAATCAAATAATGTAAAGTGTTTTGTTATTCAATTATTTTTGATATACAGTATATATTTTGCATATATGTTATTAATATTATTTGTATATTAATAATGCTTTTTGCAAAATATAAATTATTTAGTTAATATTTTTTTTTCAATAACAATAACAGAATATTAATATAAACTATCAAATTATAAAATATAACTTTTTTTTTTAATTTGCAATTAGAATAATCTTATTTTATTTATTAAATTATAGAACTATTACAAGTATAAAAATATATACAAAATATAAATTTTCTTAATTCAATTCATCTGTCAATAGTCAAAATCTCTAGATATAATTTTATAAAAATAATATATTGTTTTTCTAATAAATAGAATTAAAATTCAAAACTTTTAATAGGATCAAAACCTATAGATTACCTCTATAATCATAACTATACATATGATATAAATTATTTTGCTATTGTTAAAATTTTCAAAATAATTATATCTGACTCAATTATTTTATATGTTTTAATAGTGACTTAATTAATTGTATCAAATAATTGTGTCAAATTGTATCAAAAATCCATTAATTTCTATTATATATATAATCATAACTATAAATTCAAATTGTATTAAATCTTTTTTGCAGAAACTATATAAAGGAAAAAAGATAAAAAAAAATTTAAAGGAAGAAAAAAACAGCAGAAATATATACAAAAAGAAAAGATAATAATAATAAAAAAAAACTATTATCTATTCTAATTATTATTAAAAAAATTATTTTTATAATTCAAAACCTAATTTCTTTATAATTGCTATTATATTTATTTTTTACTATCTATAGTTAATCAAACTGTTTAATTTCTATTGAAGCAGTAATATCCAAGAATATTTAAGGACATTTTCAAAAGAGTATTTTTTGAACTTTATGCTTGAAAACTTCTAATTAGAAAAAATAATAATTTTTTATTGTTGATTTTTTTTTTAAGTCATATCTTCTGAAATTATTGCTTTACTTAATCAATGAATAGTTTCAAGATCTTTTTCTCTAACTATTTTTAAAATAAATAATTATTACTTTAACTTTGTTGCCAGATTGGGATAAAACTTAAATCTTATATTTATTTCTTGTTTTTAGAAAGAAAAAAAAAGAAAAAAACAAAACAAAACAAAAAGAAATTGTTTTTCTTATTTATACTTTAACTTTATTTAATATTCCCATATTATTTTTTAACTAAAAACCATTCAACTCTTTTAGAAACCAATTATATTATTGGATTTGATATTGTGCAACTGAAAATATATGAAAGAATATATTTTTTTTACTTTTTCTATAGTTGATATAATTAATCAATCTGTAATATTAACCAATTATCTTTCAGAAAATTCAGTGTAACCAAAATTCAAAGTTAAACTGAAGTAGACAAAATTTTCTAAAAAAATTATAAAAAAAAAAATACACTTGAAAAAAAAAAAATAGGAAGTCAAGAAGATAATAAAAAAACTAAGATTTTTTTTTTTATTTTTTTGAATTCTTAAATCTCTTGAAAGTCTTTAAAAAATATTTTTTCTTATTAATTTTTTTTCTAGAAATATGTTTTTGCCATAAATCTCTTAGATAAGTTTCTTATATTTAGTTATAGAAATAATTAAGAAAAGTATTTTAAAAAGAAAAAAGTAGACAAGTAGTAGCTGTTGCTTACTTTGCTAGTTAAAAAAGCAGTATTTTTAAAAAATATATATAAACTTTATTATTATAAATATATAAAATCTTTTGAGAATATCTATTTTTAGATTGACAAAAGAATTAACAAAAAAAGTTTTTATAGAGTATAATTTTAATAAGAATAATAAGAATAATAAATATAATATAATTGATTGGTTGATCCAAAATCAAATATAAGATGCTTAGAAACCTGGATTTCAAGGCAACAGCAACACCATACAACTTTTACAATCTGTTCCTAAAGTATGATATAATACTATCCATCTGAAAAAACAATATTTTATATCTAATATCCAAAGGAAAAGAATGGCAAGAAAACTTAAACAATATAAAATCTATTGTACTTCTTGAAGCAATATAAAAGTATTTTATCAAAATATTTAACAATTAGTTAATAACAGTTTGTAAAACAAGAATATTTTAAAAGGATTCAACTTTGTAAGACTGTCAGAAGAAAGTATATTAGAGCCTATCCATCTTCTAAACAATATTTGTAAAAACACTAGAGAAGAAAAAAAAGTACTTTGGATTCTACTACAAGATACTACAAAAGCTTATGATATAATTAATCTAATAATATTCAAAAAAGCTTTAATAAAAATAAAAATTTTACTCAAAATTAT